CCACCTTCTACTGAGCCTGTGCCATCAGCAGAGCCACCCCCAGCTGTGCCTGCGCTGGTCGCAGAGCCAGAAGTTGTCATTGCGCAAGCGCCACCTACAACAGAGCTGCTAGGAGCCTCCGAGCCACTAGATGTCGCTGCATCGCTACCGCCTGGAACTACCATGTTGCCTGAAATTACATCATCAGCAGTTGTCACATCAGAACCAGGAAGTCCAACCACAGAAACTGTAGCTGCTGTAGTCGGCGTTACCCCTACAAGTGTTGCCGTAGCAACTGAAGCTATTTCGGCAAGGACTGCCACCTTGGTAGAAACTGCTGCCATCTTGGTGAGAGCTGCCATTTCGGCAGAAGCCACCACCGTTCCGACGGGGACCGGAGCCGCCGCCGGAGCGAGCATGGCTACTCCACCGAGTCCAGCACTAACAGCTGAATCAGCCTTTGCTTTTGGTGCTCTGCCTGCTTCAATTCTGCTGCGAGAGGAGGAAGAAAAACCTAATCGTGGTAATGCAAAAGAGCTATTTTCATCATTTCCATCCTCAAGCTTGTCTTCTGATGATGAGAGCTTGGACAATGGAAGCTAGAAAGTCACTGTGCTTGCAATAAAAGACCTTAAAGACACCTTATTGCTTCACTTTCAAGAGCTTGAGTCTAAATTAGGAGAGAGACAGCTTGTTCAGCTGAATACAGCCCCCTCTAATGTTTCAACTTTAATTGAGAGTGAACCCTGGGAAGCTTTGGACTGGAAAATTTTAAAAGAAGTTAAAATAACTGTTATACAATATGGTTTAAAGAGTGATTATACACAATTAGTACTGTGGCATCTTTTTACTGCTCATTTTTTAACACCATATGATATTCGTATAATTATATCTGTGTTACTTTCTCCTTCCCAGCAGGCGCAATTTCTCAACGAATGCAGTGCCAGTTGTGCAGCAATGGTTGCACAATCTAAGTAGAAAGGACACCCTCTTTTTGGTCTTACTGCTGACATGCTCATGGGTTTTAGTCAGTACAACAGTATAAATCTGCAAATACAGTTTTCAAATGAGGTACTACCAACTAGTCAGAACTTAGTTTATCAGTCATTGCTTGCAGTAAGGGATGTAAGAACAAGACCCTCACATTCTAAGATCAAGAAGGGACCTAATGAACCACATGATCAATTTGTGAATCGTTTGCGTCAAGCTATAAACTCAGATCCAGACATACATTGTGACATAAAAGCACAGTTCATAGACTTGTTAGCTTATAACAATGCCAACGACAAAACAAAGCAAATATTAAGCGCAACACATAAGAGTGCTGACTCACTTAACTTTATAGAGGTTGTGAAAAAGATGGTTGAGCAGAAAGGAACATTTTGTATAGCTGATGCAATAACTGCAGCAATAAAACCTTTTTTGTCTGTAGAGATTGACATTTCTTCAGAATCAGATACAAGTTCTGATGATGACGAAGAAGACAATAATGCTGGAGTTTAGAACAGATCAGCAACATTCCTAGAAATTTTTTCAGAATTATTAAATAATAGAATTAGTACAATGTAGTTTGTTGCAGAATAAAGCTGTTATAGGTTTAGAATTATTAGTATAAGAGTATTTGGTAAAGAAATCAGTGATTTAAGAACTCTTAACACACTTTTTGCACAAAGAAAAAGGGGACAGAAGGATATCAGTTCTCCTCTATTGACTTGCAAAAGTGTTTCATGTGTTTTAAGTTTTTTGTGCACAGGTGTTCTCTGGTTATCTGTACATAAATGAAACCCCGGAAAGAAGCTGGTTCTTCAGAACAGAGCTGATGTTGTTGCTGTTGCAGGTAACAGTGAATTACCAAAAGAGCACAGTATTTTTAGTCTTATTGAGAGTACAATTTTTTCAGTATTACAAAGGCACAATTTTTAGGTATTATGAGTAGAGTTTTTTTCAATATTTTTAAAGCACATCAGTTTAGAAGTTAAGAAGCACATAATTAAAGAGGTTTTAGAATTTAAGAAAGTGTGTTGTGTGAACTTTAGATTATTCGCTACATTTTAGTAAAAGAAAATTTATCTATCTAGTTAATTTTATCTGTTTGGTTAAGAAGCTTTAACATTATAAGGTACTAAAGAATGATAACTTTTTAGTTGATAAAACACAGTGATATGGAATTCAAAAGTATGTTTGTGTGAATGTTGACAGTGGCCACTGTGAAAGTTTGTATGCGTGTATGTGCGTGACTGCATGATGATTACTGTGTTTTTGATAATAAATACACATACACTTGAAATACACAAATACTTTTACATTAAAACAGAAGACACTTTTAGACTGAATACGTTTGGAGAAGCACTCTTAGGCGCACTTTAAGAGCACATATCTTGGGGTCAATAGTTGTTAAGTGTATTAATGATAGTAGTGTTATTGTATGGATACAATAGGGAATGTTACAGAAATGTAATTTAAATTGTTCAAACTTCAACGGGGGATTTGTCGGAGGACAGAAATTGTGTGTGAACAATTTCTATTGCATTTCTGTGACCTTTGCCTTGGCATGGCTGCGTGCAGACAGTAAAAAATACTGCACCACTAATATGGCTGCAGGCCTTATGCCAAGGTGAAGGAGTAGTTCTTCTGGCAGGTAAACAAGTTTTATGGACGCCTGCTGTGGTCCAATTGGTACTGTACAGCACAGTGTGTTTACCTTATGTATCCAATGTAACCTGGGAAAGAATCACATGTCTCTGTGTCACAAGCAGTATATACGCTGTCTTTCCTCTAATAAAGGGGAATCAGTGGGATCAGACTGAGAAAGACCCACTACAAATTTTAGAATGGTTTTTTCTACCCCACACACCACCTAAAACTGTGTGGCCTACTAACAAAATGTTTGCCAAGCTTGACATTAAAGGCAGAGGACGACTACAAGAACTAGACGGAAGAGACCCTGCTGTCATCTACATTCCAGCTACAAAGGACAACTTCATTGGATGCTAGCTGAGGACGCAGGATTCCAGGTTGCCCTGGCAGGCTTTGACGGTGACATTTCAATACATCTCCCTAAACACAGATTGTGGGCAGAAATTGGTAATTTACCTTTAAAGGCCACAACCAGATGCAAACATGAACCAGTGAAAGGCCTCACGGTTTTCACAGATGCATCTGCAAAAACACGAAAAGCTGCAATGACTTGGGTAAATCCTGACACAGGACAATGGGAACGAGAGGTACAGACCATGAACCAAGGTTCTGTACAGGTTCTGGAACTGGCTGCCACTTGCATTGCCTTTGGGAAATTTTCTGAACAACCTATTAATATTGTTACTGATTCCTGTTATACTGCGTAGTTAGTCTCCCGTCTCGATATCGTTAACCCTCACTTGTTGTTTGAAATGTGTTCTGTTTGGTTTCTTGTCAATCATAGAAGGTTTGATTTCTATACAATACACACAAGGTCACACACTGACATGCCAGGGCCATTACCTGACGGAAACTGAGAGGCTGACAAAGCAGTTATGTTTAACACCATACCTAGAGTCTTAGAGCAAGCGAAATTGTCTCACTCATTTTTCCATCACAACGCACGTTCTCTGAAGAGACAATTTCAGATAACACTCAATCAGTCATGCCCAGACTGTCAGAAAATCACACCCATGCCATCTCAGGAAGGCATTAATCCCAGAGGGTTAATGGCAAATGAGATTTGGCAGACAGATATCACACATATCTCCGAATTTGGCACATTAAAATACGTACATGTATCCATAGATACACACTCACAATACATAACCACCACAGCACACACAGCGGAAAAGGCCAAGGATGTGATAAGGCACTGGCTCAGTTGTTTTGCTACCCTTGGTACCCCAAAACTGATAATGGACCAGTTTTCATCTCAGAAAAGGTAAGAAATTTCCTGTCAGAATGGGGAATTTCACATGTCACAGGTATCCCACACTCACCAACTGGACAGGCAATTGTGGAAAGGGCACATCGCACACCGAAAGATGTTAGCTAAACAAAAAAAGGGGGAATCAGTCTGTAACCCACAAGAACGTCTGTGGAAAGCCACGTATGTTATCAATTTTTAAAATTGTGACAGCACTGAAAGAAGTAGGTACGAAAGCCAGCACAAGCCTCAGGCTCTTGCCTCTCCCAAACCACCAGTCATGGTAAGAGATTTGATTTCAGGGCAGTGGATGTGACCGTTAGATCTTGTCACTTGGGGACGAGGCTACGCCTGTGTGGCTGCAGGAAAAGAACTTAAATGGATCCCTTCCAGGTGTGTTAGACCCTACCTAGGTAAACAACCACAGCAGCAAGAACCAGAGTAACGCAGAAGTTATAAAAGAGTTATGTTTACGCTTCAGGTTTACATTTAAGGATGACCAGTGTGGCAAAAAGCAGTCTGTAAAAAATCTGTGAATGTGTGTATGATGAATGGATGACGGCCGTCAGTGAATGAGAGTGTGAATGAATAAGAGAGTTGTTTGACTGGACAAGCGTATTAAACACAAAAACACCTCACAAAAATAACACTACCTCTGCCACATGGTCACTTTAAGAGAATTTAGTTTTGCTAAGCTTAGCCTGTTTCTTAAATGAAGTCGAACTCCCCAGTTATTTAAAACCCTCAGATTAATAAAGATTATAAGTATGCACGGTTGAGCTAAGATCCCTAAGTTAATAAAGTTATTTTTCCAACACCCTTTAGGAATATAAGAAAGTTTTATAAAGTTTACCATAGATGTATAAGAGGCCAAAGCAAGCGATGTGCTGAGTCACTGCAAGCTTTGGTAGTTTACAATGTACTGTTCTGATTGTTTGCATTGTTGTTGTTGCACTGTTTTCGTGACCTTCTTAAATAATTGAGAAGGGGGTGATGTAGGAGGCGTGTCCCAGGGGCAGGGGAACCAGGGGACATGCGCAGGGACAGACAACCCCATTGGTTAGAAGTTCACATGGTTTTAGGGGATAAAAGGAAGCGCCGAATTTGAAATACACCTACTTGATTTCCACCTCACGAAGAGCAGACTGCATTTCTTTATCATATAAAGACTGCAACGTTACAACGAGTCCCAATAAACACCTCCAAGAATCACCATGAAAACACAAAAAATCGAACTCAAAATCCCTGATAAAGGACAAGCCCCAGAAAAATGAGCATGGCGGGAGGGAGAAAAGCGGCGCGGGGAACACGCGGTCTTTGCAACGTGGTGATGGTGGAGGGGAAGGGTGCTTGCGCGTGCACGGGACCAAGGCACGCAGGGGCTGAACGAGGGAACGCACGTCGCGTGGAAAAACGGCACGCAAACTTTTCGCACGTGCTCTGTCAGTTCCGCCCCCTAGTTGAGATATCTTGGCCTGCTAAGAAACCCCAATACCAGTTTGTGATGGTCCATCTCCACAACATGAACGACATAGAAGCTTATCCCCACGGCATGCCCAGTCCCCACCTCCACGTGAGAGATACAGGGAGGAGGTGGGAGCAGTTCCACGTAGGAGTGGAAGAGTAAAGAGGGAGGTGGAAAAGATTCTACGTGGGAGAGATGGACAAGAAATAATGCAAGAAAGTGAAATTACACAATCACTGACCACAAGAGAGCTTCGAGATTTACGGAGAGATTACATGCGCTTGCCTGGTGAAGAAGTCCTCACCTGGTTGGTGCGATGTTGGGACAAGGGAGCTGATAGTCACGTAACTGAAGGTGATGAAGCACGACAATTGGGTTCCATTGCCCGAGACCCTGTGATAGAACAAGAAATGGGAAGGGAGAAAATGGTGTCCAGTCTTTGGCTCCGAATCCTCCATGTGGTGAGAGCGAAATACCCATTTAAGGAGTCCCTGAAGAGTTCTTCAAGAAGGTGGAGGACTGCGGAAGAAGGCATCCAATACCTACGGGAATTGGCCATGCTGGAGATCGTCTACTCTGATCCAGATTATTATGACATCCAAGTTCCAGAGAATGTTCCCTGCACACAACCAATGTGGAAAAAGGTAATTCAAGGTGCCCCTAAACCGTATATCTACTGTTTGATAACTGCATATCATCCAAAGATGGAGGAACCAAGCGTGGACACCATGTGTGCCTGGATAAGGAACATAGAGGAAAATCTGGAAGACTCCTTTGATCCCCTATACCGACGTACCTACGTAGGGAAAGAACGGAGAGAGATTATGAATACTCCAGATATGAGGATGACCCTAGAGACAGAGATGACAGAAGGTATAGAGATTACAGAGAAAGGCCAATGGAAAGATCATGGCTGGATCGACGAAGATGACCTCTGTGATATATGAAAAGACAGAATGGGAGAGAGATGTTGCCTGGAGAAGCATAAATGGAATCTAAATGGACTTGCTACTTACTGGACAATTCACCCAGAGGACTGACAGTTTTTCCCCAGTTTATTGTTGTGTACTTATGAATTCTTATGCACCCCAGTTTATTGTCAAAATTTATGAATTCTGTTATACCTCCATATTGTCCCCATTTCTCCCTCAGACTTTCCCTCCGAAAGTTGTTTGTCTCTTTGTGCTCCTCTGTTTTCCCGCTCCTCTGCCACTGATTGGCTGTAGTGTACCACAGTGCAGGGAGAGCTACCATTGGCCAGTTCCCTCAGAGACCCGGGAGTTCCACTCATCTTTCCCCTGTCTCCCTATCACATTTCTCCCTGAGTTGTCAATCTCTTGTGCCTCCCCGGTTTGGAATCCGCCCCTCAAACCTCGTTTATTTAAACCCTTGTACCCCCTGAACAAACGGGCATTGCTGCACACTCTCCAACTGTGCCAAGAACCCTTTTTGCAGTGCCTGGTCCCATC